TACCTTACTAGTTAACTTACCCACTCGACGTCTTATGATGAATTCTATTATTTGGTGATCACTGTCCCCCAGGCGACTACCAATCTGTAGGTCCCCTACCATATCATCCCCCGTTGCCAATACCAGGTACAGTATGGCATTCCCCGTAGTGGGACCGTGTACCTCCTGCATCAGGTGGAGGTCCTGTACGCAGGATAGGAACGTGCATGAACGGTGGGACTTTGCTGTCTGTGTCTCCCAGCAGATTTCTGGGTAGTTTAGGTCCCCCATGACTACCGCCTCCTTAGTTTTTATGGTCTCTGAGAGCTGCCTCAGGAACCCCGAATCTAGTTCTTCCCCTTGGTGTTGGGGTCTGTAGGAGACCCCTACCACCAAATCCCTTTCTCCTTGCCCCCCATGTAACTTAACCCACAATCCTTCTACTTTCTCCTCCTTCAATTCCGTCTTGATGAGGGTCGATGTATGTTGCTCATTGACAGAGCGCAACCCCTCCCCCTTTCTTCCCCACCCTGTCCTTTCTGTACAGCCTATAACCCTCAATATGTACCACCCAGTCGTGGGAAGAATCCCACCAGGTTTCAGTTAGCCCTACTAAGTCGTAGGTGTTTTCTGCAAGCAGGAGTTCATCCTGCTTGTTCCCCATGCTCCTAGCATTAGTATATAGGCACTTAAGCCCTGTGACTGGTGCCTTTTTTGCCCCCCAGCTCCGATTCCCAAAGGGCCCCTTATTGCTAAGTTGTCAGGGGGCCAGATTGTGATTACTGTCATGCAGTACGTGGTGCTTGTGACTTTCCAAGGCCCCACAGTGTACTGTGTGTACACAGTGTTCAGTGTACTGAATCAGTTCTGATTCAGTACACTAGAATCAGAACTGAGAGCAAGGCTCAGGAGTCCCTGGCCCCTACATCATCCACTAGACAGCAAGCCCTCTGCTAGTCTGTAGTGATCACGGTGTATGGCTGTACTGAAGTTAAAGCTACATGGCAGCTTATTTCCATACTACTGTAATAGTTCATGTTAAAAGCTCTGCAGGCTACTATTAAGCCAGTAAGAATGTAGCCCTGTCACTTGATACAATTAAAACTAGTGTGTACAAAGTACATAGAAGCCTACAGTAAAAAAGCAGTATTACTTCAGAATATGGATAGATCAGGTAAAAAAAAAAATGCTAATAAACTTGCCCTATCTCTGTGTTCTGTGATTAGAATGGTTTTGAAAACAGGAAGACAAATCCAACTACATTGCTGTCTCCCCAGGTAAAAGTGAATGGGCTTTGATGTAAACATCTTATAGAATTATTCATGATTCTCACAGGTTTAAAAAATTGGGAAAGGGCAATGATTTTAAATGCTCACAGAAGCTAATGGGGATTTTTTTTCTTTGTCAAATTGTTACTAACAGACTCTTAGGGAGCTCCATATCCTTCCTCATTTTGCTTCTTGAGCAAAACTGGGAGAGAGATACAGTACAGAACAGCTCTTTCTCTTACAAGCTGAGCTTTAGCAGTCAAGTACCTGCTGCTATGGGTATCCCAAGCAGATTATAAATTAAGGCAAGGACCAGATTTATTCGTATTCTTCGTACAGTTCTCTTTGATAGATGAATGCTGGCCACCACGTCCAGTAAATCATTCTGAAAGACACAAGAACAGCGAGACAAAATTCTTCAGACCCTTACAATTATACACTTCTCAGTAGCCCAAACCGACCCAAATAGAAAAAAAAAATGCATTAAACAACTCAGCTCACTCGAATAAGAACAACATCTGCTGCTTCAATGGCAACGTCAGTGCCTGTTCCAATAGCAACACCGATGTCAGCCTGGGCCAGTGCAGGGGAATCATTGACTCCATCTCCAACCATGGCTACCTTCTTCCCTTCATTCTGGAGTTCCTGGACCTTTGCGACTTTGTGAGAAGGAAGAACCTCAGCAAACACTTTTTTTATGCCAACCTACATGGAGGGGGAAAAAAGAGAAAATAAGGCACAAGCTGGTTGGTGTTCCTTTATCATGGAAGAAAAAGCTTTAAAAGGGGATAATTGTGCTGGTTAAAACTTGTTGGGGAATAGAAAGAAGAGCATTAAGGTCACCAACACTGCTGGTAACATTTTATGAACCTTTTCATGTTCCATTCAAGTTGCTAATGTACTGCACAATGGACTAACTGGAGCTATGCCCCATTTTCAATGCAGAGAGGATGCTTGCAGAAAATGCAGACACCAGTAAATCATGATTCACTGATTCAGGCACTGCTCTGGATATGCTGTGGTAGGACTTCTTTGGCAGAAGGTAAAATGTCAATGCTCTAAGGGTTAATGGAATTGTTTTCCAAAATTACCACGCTCTTCGGGGCACTTACCTAAGTAAAAAAAAAAGTACAGGGATGGATGAACTACCACAAGGAACAGAGTGTACACTGAGTGCTCACTTACCTCTTCAGTGGCATTTTAGCCAGCTTTATTAATCCAGTTTTACATAAACTAATCTACATAATCCTACACAATGTGGAAACTCATCGGGACAGAGCTTGTCCTTCCTTTGCTCAAAGCATCATGAACATCTAGGCAAAAGCTAAAATAATCAGCTTTCCAGGTCATCAGGCTAAGCGGTGTTACAACCTATAAGATATTTTAATAGAGACCAGACTACCTGTGTAGCAATGGCTTTCGCAGTTTTTCTGTTGTCCCCTGTTATAAGAACCACATCGATTCCCATGGTTTTTAGGGTGTGCACAGCCAGTGCTGCCTCCTGTTTGACGGTATCTGCTATTGCAATCATCCCACACAATGCACCTTCAAGGAAACACCAACAGTTAAAAACTTGAAGATAGACATAGGAAGCAAAGTGGCCTACAGAAGCTAAGATGATTTCATTCCCATTCCACTCCTCTGACTTGTACAGTGACAGGTTTTTTTCTTTTTAGTTCAAATTCACAAATAACTTATCTAAAAAAGGTAATTTGTATTTTGTCCCTTTGAGTTGTACATCAAATATTTATTACCCTGGGAGGAAAGGTGACTTTCAAAACAGGGTATTTGCAAGGTCAGTATCAAGGCACCATGAAATGGTATTTGCATTCCCACTAAGTCATTTCAAAGAATAATTATTTACCGTCTATAGCTACCAATACAGCTGTCTGTCCTTTCATTTCATGGCCAGTCATTGCATCATTAACATCATTTGAAATATGCAAACCGTTACGTCTCATCCATTCACGATTTCCAATCACCACTAAGTAGGTGTGAGGGGCTGCTGCACCTTAGTGAACAGAAGTAAGAATGATGAGGAACTTCATTAGCATCCACAACAGCCTGAGGAGAAACTGTTGAAGAGGAGCCAATCCTGTTATGTTTTGGGTTTGGAGTATTGTTTTCTTGTATTTTATTGTGCTGATATATATGGCATGTGTGGTCTCATTGGGAAGCCCATGTTGTGCTGTATCTATTTATACTCATCACTGTATGGATTATGTTATGCTAGCTATTTATATCTTTATGATTTTGGATATGGTCTAGCCAGGGAACACAGGGAATGGGCAGAACTGCTAATTATCCCTTGTCATTGTGCTCTAGGGCCAGGACAATTGTTACTTACACTAGCACAGAGAAGGGGCCACAGGTTGGATGGACATTCCTACACACTATCCACCTATGATGGGGACAACTGACTCTATAACAGCAAAGGCATCTGGGAATAATAGCCCGTGAAGGCTATTATAACTTTCTGAAAGATTCTGATGATTCATAAAAAGTAGAATAATGCTAACTGTGGAGCTGGCTTGCAGGCTCTTTAGAGCCTAGCTAGGCTAGAATGTTTGTCTTTGAATCTCAAGCTTTGCAGGTTCACTGGCCCCAGGTCCCAGAACAGGAAAGCTGGAAGGAAGGCTGATCTCTAGAACTCTGCAAGGACTCCCATGGAAGACTAGGGGTAGCCAGATGACTAAAGAACCAGTACTTGTTTTACTGTCCTGTCTCCTAATCTATGGTCCATTTTGTTTGCATAATTCTTAAATCCTATCTAAATAAATCCTTTTGCTGTTTGACTCCTTACTGATTGCCAGTAGAAAGAGCAATTTCTGAGCAAGTGATATTCTAGGTGACTCTCTCCATGGAGAGAGGGACCTATAATTTCTTCCATAATCCAAAAGTTGGGGACACTTGGGGCTGACAGAGATCCCTCACTTTAGCTGCAGAGTCTGTTTCAAGGACAGAAGAACTGAGGTGCTGGGAAAGGAACCCATTTCAGGACAGCCTCAGTCTGTTCCTTGGGGCAAGAGGCATTACAGTGGGGAAAAATTCAGGTCTCAGGGGACCCCCCCAGACAGGTTTGTGACAGGAGGCAAAGCCAGATTAGGGCGGAAATGATCATAAACTTGTATTAGTTAAAAACAGATGTGAAGTTGTTTGGGATGCTAAAGCTGGACTGTTAGGCAACAGTCATCTCCTGAAGCTCTTCTAGTGGACTGAGACTTGCCTTGGTTTTATTTATTTAGCAACAAAAACTAAAATGTGTCACACACGCATTCTATTAGGCCTCCTACAACATAACCTGTATACAACAGAAAGCACTTTTTGACCTTAGACTGCAATTCTGCAAGTACTTATTCATGAAAGTCATATACAAGGTGGGGCAAGGTGGTATCTCGGAGACTGACTCATTGCATTAGATAGATAAGCAGTCCTATGATCTCATGCATGCACATGGACAACAGTGCACCTTTACAAGTTTCACATTTAGTAGTGACCACCCACTGCATACATGTGCTTCATAAAATGTCATCTTAAATTTTTCTGTAATTTCTAATATTTTTAAGGGGTGTATATTTTATTCCTTTAGTGTAAAACCATATTTTTCCTCCCACATATACAGTAATAATGTTCCAACAAACACCAGACAGCAGCAATTAATGAAGTGTAATTTAAGTTTGAACTGCTCAAGAATCCTACGTGATAGGTAGAGAAATGCTATGTCAATCCCTTTTATGATAGGATAACGATCATAGTGCAAAGATTAAATTAATTCAACGATTCCAGTGGTTTCTCTACAAAGTCCTAGCACAGGCAATCTTGGAAGTAAAGACTGCGCATTGGAGAGAAGGTGACATGTTAATGGAAAATGTTGAAAGCCTTTATAAAACGGAACAAGGTAGTTCCCATGGCCTGAAAAAAACCCAGAGTATCTTTGAATGTTGTATATCATCCCACACTGAAATCACACAGATTTGTCAACATCCAAATTTAAGCCACTTAAGTGAATTTTGCATCTCTAAGGGCATTTTTACACATGCTCCGGGAGGCACAGGAAAGCGCTTTAATTAGTGAGCTGTGCTAATTAAAAGCACCTGATTGTCATGTGTATCAGCATCCCCACGCTGAAAAATGGTGGTGGGGCACTTTGAACTAAAGCTTATCAAATGAGCTTTAGTTCAAAGCGCCCTGCCACCATGCGTTAGCACAGGGATGCTGATACACATGATGCTAGAATCTGATGGAGCGTGGTAATTTCCGTGCTCCAGCAGACTCAATTAATCAAGTCTTCTCCGACATGATGGATTTCCTGTGCGTCGGAGCTGGCTCCCTGCACATCTATAGGAGCCCTAATATATTAATTCCCAATATATTTGTTCAACCATTAAATACATATTTTTAATAAGCACCTGCAGAGGATATTTGAATAGACAACAATATAAAACTTCATCCAAGTTGATATACAACTAAGAAACTAACACGATAAGGGTGACAAAGCAAGATGATTGGGCAAAGTGTTTCCAGTTCCCAAAGGAACTACAATGCTAATTGGCCAGTTTTGCTTTCTCTTTCCCCTTCATTCTTTTCCACGGAGGCTTGCTCTGCTAAATTAAATATGTGGCTGAGTAAGGAACACCTCATTATCCATTTGTTGTAGGTGCTTCTACAGCCCCCATCACTGTGGTGTCCAAGTTCTCTGCTAAGTTTCCAGATACAATGGCTATTTTGCAGTTCCTTGTATCTTTGATTTAGCCCACTTGTACTTGTGATCGACTATGAGCCAACAGGACAGACCTACCATCAGGTTCGGATGTCATGATCAATGAACTGTGTTTCAGGGAAACAGTGCTGTCCCCATTCAGGTTAGCATTCCGCTCATTTAGACTGTGCTCCTTCTGGCCTAAGACAGATTCAACACCACTGACTTTACAGCTGATTCCACAGCCTGGTACTGCCTGAAAATCCATGCAATACCCCAGGCTCTCTGTACCAAGTTCCTGTAAACATAACAATTACAACATATAACAATTTAAATCTTCAAAGTGCTACACATGTTGACTACTTGTACCCACAACACTACAAAAAAGTGGGTCTTCTCCCCTTTTTACAGAGGAAGAAACAAGCAGAAATGTTCTGAGATTTATCTACATGTACATGGAACAATGTCAGAACAAGAGCTGGAGATCAAAAACTACTTAGGCTCAAGCACATTATTTTTATAGCGTGATCTGTATGTCATTTAGGCCATAAATAGCACCATGCCACATGTTCATTGAATTAGTGGTGCCATGAAATGACAAACCAGACACAGAGATGCCACATAAAATGTGGAACATGTTTATGGCTGGTTTGCATGGTGCCATAAACTGAATGTGTGGCATGCCTTATCATCCCAATGCCAACAATCAGCTGATTGTCAGTATTGGGACCTGGGCAGCCTCCAGTCTAAAACCTAGCTGCCCTGGTTCTGATGCTGACAATTGCTGACTGTCGGCATCAGGATGTGAGTTTGTCAGAACCCAACATTTGGCTGCTTTGCCCTGTAGGAGCTATAGAACAGGGCCTTTAAGGTGAACCCCAGGAGACTCACCACCACCAGGCCCTTCAGAGCTTATTGTCAAGCCCTGCCCCAGACAGCTTCAGGTCTAAAAGGCCTGAAGGTCTACATGGCCAGCACTGACAATCATGCATATTTGGTAGGGCAGGATGTGTGATGTTTGGGATGGGGCATAAAATTCCTCAAATCTCAATTGTGCCATTGTTTTAATATCTGTCAGGAACCTTATTATTAATTCTATGATTAGACTATGAGAAACAGGGATTGCTGTACTAGGTCAGATCCCAGGTCCACCTATTCTGGCATCTGGTCTCTGATAATGGAAATAGACAGTTCTTCAGAGGAAAAAGATAGCTGGCCATAGATGCTGCTGGACTTTCATATTACTACAGGTTTCATATTGCTACCATAAACACACACACACAGTTCTTGGAGTGGCTTGGTTTGACCATGGGACTAGGAATGAGCTAAAATTTGATGGTTTTCAAGATTATTTTAAACAAAAAATCTTCTGACAGTAACCACTGCCATTAAGTGAGAGAAAAGTGGATGCACAGGCACAACATTTAAGAATGGGGTTACCAAGAACATTTTTTAGAACTCTAAATTTAAAGAGACATAAAGGAGGGGAAAAACAGGAAAATTATAAGACTAATGAACAAAATTAATCTCTGAGGAGTTATGTTGAAGTCAGAGCTACCCTTGGCTTATCGAGTAGTCTTGTGATAGCTTAAAAGCAAGTGGATGTACCAGTAATACCTATAAAAAGATAAAGAATCAACATTTCACACAAGCTGTGGTCAGGTGAAGATTGAGGCATGTGATCTTGCTGAAACAGCTTGGGCACAAGAAGTAGATGATTTGACCACCACCAACCATCAGAGAAAAGTGAGTTTAAAATAAGGCAGGCAGACAGAATCATTACCCAGACAGAAATCCTTTCTTTCCAAATACACTTTTTAATTTTCTAAATTTTACCTCTAAAGATTTCTAATAGATGTGTTGAATACTCATCTTGTTGCCAATTTATCATTTTATAATCATTTCAACCAATGTTGGCCAGAAACCCAGTCACATTTATGTAAGCATAAAAATCAGCTGTTATTTACAACTGCCTTCCTCTTTTTTATTTCCGATTGCACTTTCAGGGGGTTGAAGTAGACGACTCCAGAGGTCCCTTCCAACCTATGATTCTATGATTCATCTTTCCTGAAGCATTTGAGGAACACATGCCATCAATGACCTCTGTAGATCTGCATACAGATTACTAATTTCACAGGCTATTAATTAATTTCTCAAACCCGAGAGCTCACATTTTAATATTTACATTTCTTTAAAACTTTCTATCTAAATTTAGTGATAAATGACTGATTAATCAAGCTGGCTAGTTAGACAGTGTGTGGGAAGACACTATGCAGGCTTCTTCACAGTTACTTTATTCTATATATATGTAAGCAAATTCCATTTCCTGCTTTACCTTAGGGAAACATCTATTTAGAAAATCATGTTAGGGGCTGATTGTCAAGACACCTGAATTATTATTACAGTTCCTCGAGGTACCAGCTGAGACTGTAAATCCCACTGCACCATACAGAGGCAGTCTGTCTCCTGAAGGGCTTATGAACGAGGTAGGAAAGACAGACAAAGGTCAAAGGGAAAGGGTTGTGGCATGACTTTACCAGTGTCACATCTTAGGTCAGTGGCATAGTTTGAATCAGAACCCAGAATTCCAGCTCAGTGTCCTGTATGCTGGACTATGCAATCTCACAATTTTATCAATCGTGAACCTCACACAGTCTACCAACTCAAATACTGACTACTGTAAATGTTATCAAAAGCCCAGCCAAAACAAATAAGTGTTTCATTCTTCCCCACAGCTCACCAAAATCAGGCTCTGACAAAGCAAAGGGGGAAAGTGGATGAATTTGACCCATGAACAGTTTAAAATATGAAAGTGAGTAAGAATGACCAAGCATCTCTTAATTTGCATTACAACAAGAACATAGCGCGTTAATCTCTAGGTCAGTGATTCTCAACCTGGTTACTGCAGCATCCTGTTTCAAGGGTGCCACATAATGTTAGCATTAATAGATGTGCAAACATGATTCACAAGTTTTTTGCAACAGAAAAATTACTCTAGTATTTTCCATAGCCAACAAAACAAGTGAAAATTAAAAGCTAGCAATTTTCAAGGCATCCCTCAAGTTTAAGATGGTTGAGAACCACTGTTCTAGGTTAATTACAAGATTCCAGAGAAGTGGTTCCAACTGAGACTCTACACAAGATGTCACAGAGCTAATGTTTGTCACTTGGATCAAGCAAAGAGCTGTTTTTATTACTGGCGCACACACCCACTCCACAGCCAGGATTGAAAAGTAAAAAACATCATTAGGCTGGAAGCCTGTTCACTTAGAAGAGCAAGGTTTATCAAGCTTCCAGCCTGATGGTGTTCTGAAAGCCACAAGAGAGCCTCTCCTAACAGATTTAGACTAAAAAGTCTAAAAATTCAGACTTTGGATTCTCACTTCTCAGTCCTGATTGTGGAGTGGGTCTGAATGTCAGCAATGAAAGCAGCATTTTGCTTGATCTAAGTGACAAACGTAAATTCTGTGACATGTTGTGTAGAGTCTCAGTTGGAACCACTTCTCTGGAATCTTGTAATTAACCTAGATCAGGTTGGGCAATTAGGCAGGTCTTGTAAAAGTGGGCCTATTGCACTGCACTAACTAATTCAGTGCAGTACACCCTTGAGTAGTATCTACAACTTTTTTTAAGCAGTACCTCTTTGCAGTATTTAGTGATAGCCATTCCCAAGGGATGCTCACTGTTGGCCTCTGCAGTGCCCACAACTGCAAGAACCACCTTGAGAGACAGGGTAGCCGTGTCCCCTAGCAGAAGCACTCTCATGACTTTAGGAACTCCATGGGTGATGGTCCCCGTTTTATCAAACATCACAGTCTTTATCTGAAAGAAATGTATTGTGCTTGATTAATACATCTAATGTGAAAGCCATGCACAGCCAACTTGAAGACAGTAATAAAAGCAATGTTTCAGGAAGGAGATATTAACCTTATGGGCCATCTCCAGAGGTTTTCCACCTTTGATAAGAATACCATTTTGAGCAGCCACTCCTGTGCCCACCATGACTGCTGTTGGAGTGGCCAGGCCCAAGGAACAGGGGCACGCAATGCACAGCACAGTGATAGAAGTTTGGAATGCAAACCTGATGATTATTTCAGCTTTAGAGATGTTTTTGCTCCGATGCTGCAAAAAGGAAAAAAAAAAAAGTGTCTGCTGAAAAAGCTAATAAAGGACAGAAAGGCACAGATGACAAGTCCCCATAATGGCAAATCCATCACTTTCACACTTCTCTGACTTACTTCTGACCCACAAATCCACCTTCAAAATTAATAAGTAATGTAAATGGAAAACCACTGCCTTGCAGACTAGCTCCCACACATTCACATTACCTTCCATGTTTTGCCCTCCCCACTCCTGAGTGAGTATGCCGTCTTTGGGATGTGCAGTTTCCCACAAGCTAGGAGCCTGGCAGATACACTTGACACTTTCCAAACATGATTAAGCTGCTAGTCATCTTTCTAAAGCTAAACAAACACTTGGCAACAGAAACAGGGATATGCACATGTGCTTTTGGTCAGTACTTTCTCTGCTCCCTGAAATCCAGTCACTGGACCATATTCATTCTCAGTGAAAAGCCATTGATTTCAGTTTTGTTAGAACCCCTTGCAGAGCTAGCATGGCAATTTGGGCCAGCGGAAATTATCTACATGGTTGAGAACCCTTATGTTTCCGGGACAAGGGTGCTTACCACCCTCAGTACCAGGCTGTCTGAGAAAGCACATAAGACACATTAATTACATAAGTAAAAAACATATATTGGTACTAATAAAGCTACTTACTGGGAAGAATTTCTGAACAACATCAAAATTGATAAAGCCTATTGCAATCCACACAATCAATGTTACTGTTGAAATAATGATGATAAATGGAACAAAATAGCCACTAAACTTATCAGCCAGTTGCTGAATTGGTGCCTATAACAAAAGAGATTTAAAATTGTTTTAGGAATGAGGTACGAAAGGTAAGCACAGGCAGGATGTAAAGAAAAACCTTATCATTTAACCCTTTTCATTTTTCTTCTTAAGCCTATTGTAGAATCAGTAACATACAATGTCACAAAAGTGAAACCTTCTTGATTTCTCCTCAGTCAAAAATGTAAGATTTTAATTTTTACCTTGGACATCTGAGCTTCTTCCACCAATTTTACAATTTGTGCCAGGGTAGTGTCAGGGCCAACATGAGTTGCCTTAACAAGAACAGAGCCATGTGCATTTATAGATCCTGCAATCACTGTGCTGCCAGGCTTTTTAGTGACGGGCATGGCCTCCCCTAAGGTGAAAAGAAATATAAACAACAGGGTGAAGAAACTATCTAAATAAACCGTGTGTGGGAACAGCTGCATAAGAAGAGCTAGCAAACTACACGCTGGCTAACTAGTCAACATTTCGAATTACAATTTGAAAATAAAAAAAATTAAAAATTAAATGCTGTTTCCAATAGAAACCTTCTGTAAGTTGCATTACATTTCAGGGAAATGTTCTGCATGTTCTATTTTACAGCAGCCACCCAGACAACTGCCCACTGTCTCTTTCTTCCACCTTGTTCTGGGTTCAAGAGTCTCATTCTCTCCTCTCTAGAGGCCTGATACAAAGCTGTTTGGAAGTCCATCCCTTTGATTCCAGCAGACTTTGGTAGAATCCATAAACTGCAACCTATCATTTTGTTTTAGAGCCTGGGATAAATCTCTGTATACCTGAAAAGTCTCTGTTCTCAACCTGCCAGAGATCAGAATCAGCAGATGTTTAACGTGAACTGTTTGCCTAGAGACAAAGGAGAGCTTTTAGGCAGAATCCTATTTCACTTAATACACCCAAGTGGTACTTACCCAGCTGCACAACGTCCCTTTTTGGTACCTACACAGTTTATGATCGTACTCTGTGCACAGCGTAGATCCACAAGCTTCCACACGACTACCTAGCATGTTCAATAGGCTACACAGAGTCCCATACCCACATCCCTCAGTAAGCTTAAGTCCCAAAATTGTACGGCGAAAGAAAAGGAGGACCCTCCCACCTTTTCACCCCAACAGCCTTGTGGTTAGCGCACTCACCCAAGAAGCAGGAGACCCAGATTCTAGGCCCTTCAACCTTCCTGTAGTGTTTCAACCTATAGTTTTCCAACTTCTTACTACAGTGCTCTAACCATTATCCTGTCCTCTTTCCAGCCCTCCTTTTGAATCTAGCCCTTTAGGAAGCCAACAGAGACACATTGGGACAAGGAGTAAGAAAACAGGCTAGAGGTTGCATGCCCTAGTGCTTCCCTGAAGGGGAAAGGGGCTGCTCCCCTGAAGGGGAGAGGGTCTGGGGCTCCTTGCTACCAACAGGGTAGACACTTTCCCATTCCTTTCCATGCATTTTATCTAACGATTATTAAAGACCAGGCTCAAGTTTGCACCATATACGCCTCTTCCTCCCAGATCCCAAGGTTTCTGCCTGGCTACAGCTTGGGGCCTTACGCCCCGACATGCATGTGCAGAGCTGTGTAGCTGCCTGGCCAGGGTGCAGCCTACTGGGCATCTTCAGTTACCATATAGATATTTGTGTCTCTGCACTGCAGGTGGAACAGGATCGTTGAGTGTGCAAATGCCAAAAAGGGCAGCAAAAACAGTTTGATAACTGCCACTGGGGCACATAAAGTGTTCTTTCCTAAATGTTCTTTTTAATTATGTGCCTCAACTAATGAATCACTCACTCCACACATTCCTACTATTCAGCACAGCGAGGCTCACTTTATGTTAGAAGCACAGAAAATTAGGCTTGGAAGGGACCTCAGGAAGTCATCTAGTCCAACCCTCTGTTCAACTCAGGGCCATCCCCAACTAAAACACCCCAGCCAAGGTTTTGTCTAGCCAAGCCTTAAAAACCTCCAAGGATGGAGCTTCCACCACTTCTCTGGGTAACCTCTTCCAGTATCTTACTATCCTCCTGGTGAGAAAATTCTTTTCAATATCCAACCTAAACTTTCCTTGCTGCAACTTGAGACCATTCTGTCAAGCTAGTATGTTCATACTAGCTGATATTATGTGTGATTATGCTGTAACAAGTCCATGACTACAGTGGACACCACTATGCAGCAGGACTATTCTGATCCTCAACAGATTAGTGGGGAGGGAATTCAGATATTCCTGTTCCAGCGCTGCAGGCCCCTGCTCCATAAGTTAAAGGAAAATTCCCATTAGCCACTCCCCTCCAAGCACCAAAACTGCAAGCTCCTCTGGCCCTTGTGCACAGCACACAGGGGGAACAGGAAGGGCTCCTTGACTCCTTATCTACTTTCCAGCACAAAACCTCAGAAGAGCCAAAAACAAACTGCTTCCCTTAAAGCTGCTAGGAAGACAAAGAACCTCAAAACGCCATCATTTCTGTATTTAAGAGCAAGCTGGTTAATTTTGTCTTACAACAGAAACTAGAGAAACTGCAAAAATTTGGAAAGCTTCCATGGTCACACTGGCTCTCAATTTACTGCAGCGTACCACAATTTTCATTTTTTAAAAATATCTGTCCATGCAAAATGGTGTTCTGTTCACTCAACATGGAAAACTGCACCCCCCACCCCCCCCAAAATCAAATAAAAAACAGACAAGCCAATAAACTTCCAGGTTTTATTTCTTTTAGCGCACTTATAACAGGATCCAGACTGAAAGTAAATAAAAATCACAGCTTTTCTTTAGAAAATTTCCCTAAAGTGGAAGCAATTCCAGTGGGACTAGCCAGCATCAAGAACCAAGACTCTCCCTTCTGCCCTGGTCCTTTACTAACTGCCTGAGATTGTCCTTAACAATTCCCACAGCACGTGCCTCCTGACAGACTTGTGAAATTGTCCTATTCACCAGTGAAGTAGTTCTAAAACTGCACTATTTTTGCAAAACATGTTCCAAAGAAAACTTCCCCCATGTCCCCCCATCACCCTCTAGAGCCAAGATGATGGTATCTAGACCTCACCAAACCTGAAGTTTTAGCAAAGCTAGAGGATTTACAAAAGTAGCTGACAGACAGGTTTGATCTAGTGTACAGGTAGGCAAAAAACCAGGTCCAGCTAGTGGCCAGTACTCCATTTCCCAGCATCCCTGCCCATGTCACTGCAGCCAGTTTCCATGGAGACCCCAGGAGCAGTGGCACTATGACAGCAGGGGGCCAGGGTTTCCACAGGTGGAGACCAGCCCCAGGAGCACTAGCAGGGCACATGGTTGGGTGGGGAGCTGCTCCAGGGCCAGGGCTAGGATCTTGCAGTGGTGACAGCATGGTCTGGAGCCAGAGCAGAGCCACGATCTGCTGCCTGCATGCCCCTGCCTGGGGACAGTATCCATGGAAAATGCGGTCCCACACTGTAAGGGTGCCACCACTCCTAGGGTCTCCATGGAAACTGACCACAGCGAGACGGACAGGGGCTGCTGGGAAATGGAGTCCGCCATGGGGCCAATCCAGCCCACTAGCCAGACTTTGCCCATCCCTGACATAGAGGCAAATAATCCAGAGGCATACAATCTGAGCTTTCTCAAAGCTCAGGGGTATTCAGACACAGGATTTTGACTCAACCTGGTGGAGATGTAAAGATCAGTCACAAAGTCTGCTCCTGGATCAGAGGTCTCCTAAAAGCTAGACTTGGTTTTGGTTCAGGCCCCCTCTCCAGTCAGGAAAAAATTGAAGAAGAAAGCTTAAATTGTTTATGAAGTATACCAGCCAGCAGCTAGCTCTGTCATACATGAAGGGAATTACCAGTAATAAGAGATTCATCTGCCATAGAGGTGCCTTCAATAACTTTTCCATCAACTGGGAACTTTCCACCAGGAACAACCTTTACAATGTCACCCCGCTGAACCAACTCAACAGGCACCTGCTCCTCCCTGTAAAACGCACACACACAAATAGAAGAGTTCAATCATTTAATCCAGAGCCAGTTCATAGAACTAAAGATGCTTCTACCATTAAAGGCATCAGGTCTACTCAGTATATCCCAGCAAGCTGAAGGGCTTTTTGTGAATAGCATATACCTGATAACAGAGTGGTCAGGTCCAAGAGTCACCACAGTAGCTTCTGTAGCTTGAAGAGATATTAGTTTAGCAAGTGCTTCCGATGTTTTACTCTGCGAGACAGATAAATGCTTAAGATGTTAACTGGACATTTGTACATTTAACTTAACCACCCATGATTCTTTAAACATTTGTTGTATCTTCTACAATGCATTCCTGACATAGCTCGAACAAAATACATCTCAGGCAGCTTCTGGTCACAGGAATGTCATATCAGTTTCACTGTTAAATGCACTTAAGTGTTTAACAAGGAAGCCAGTTACCTTTGCTATGTGTTCCAGCCATCTCCCAAGAGCAATGAAGACAAATAGCATGGGTGGTGTGTCAAAGAACGTGATGGGGCTTTGCTCTGCCTTTTCAGCCATAGCTACTATTAAGATCACACAAGAGTATATATAAGCAATTGTTGTGGCCAGCACTATGAGTACATCCATATTAGCTGTTCTGTGCTTCAGTGATTTGTAGGCTTGCACATAGAAATACCATCCACCAAGAAACTGTTGACAAGAGGATGTACAAATATAAGTTAATCAGTAGTAAGAAGTAGGACATATTTAGTACAGTCTGCAAACAGAAAAAGATAATAAGCCTGATTCTTCTGTGTTTTAACAGTGGTGTGTCTCCCATGGAGCTGTTTTATACTTACATAGTAAACTCTTTGAGAAGAGCTTGGGCTCCTGCTATGAAACTGAACATGAATTTTTTCCCCCTGGAACGTGGCATGGATAACTAAAGGACCGCACTGGACATTTTTTTTTTTTAAATTAAAGTAAATCTTCTCAATTAGGGCTCGAAATGTTGACGTACTAGTATTTATCCATGAAGTAGCATGACGTCATTTTGTTTTGTATTTGTCAGCATAGTAGATGGTATCTATTCTATGACTGGAGACCTTATGTGCTACCACAGTACAAACTACAAATTGTGGGGCGATTTGATTTACAGTGTTTGGGAGACTTTATTAAATCAAATCAAGTGGAAAATGCTCTAAATACATAATGGTAACTATGCTGTGGAAGGACTAAGAGGAATGTTTTTAAAAACCTCGCTAAAACTGATTAGCATAGCGTATATGGCATAACATAGCATCGCACAGCATAACAAAAAAAATGCACTCACATAAGCCTGATTGATTGCTTGATTAATGCCAGTTTAACAGTGCTATTTTATCAGATATACATGTTATCAGATATACGCAGTGAGATGGATTCAGTCTAATAAGGCTTTACTGTCTCCTAACTTTTTATTAAAGTTATTAAAAACTGAGTAAGAATATGATAAGAGAAAGTAACAACTCCACCGTTGAGCCAACTTTCTTCCCCACACCACTCACCTCTTCTACCAGTTGCATCTTTCCTCCATCTCCCTTCTCTGTCCCACTATCTTACTCTGGTTTCCTTCACCCTCTCATTACTCCATGTTGCACCCATACCCCACCTTTAACCTCTCACTTCAAGTATTTAATTATCAAAACATTCCTTTGAGCTAAGGATTATTACTTTCTCTTTACTACAGTGAAGTGGAAACCAAATTATGAAAGGTGATGGGACTTCTACATGACCACTCAGCAAGGCAGTGACCAAGTCAGAATTCAAAAATCAGGTCCTCATATGTCTTCTAACATGATGTTCATCTCTCACAGTTACTTTTTTATCCTCTCTTGCCATCTGACATCTGTTTAGACCAAGGGTGCCGCAGCCCAGCCCACAGGCCAGATCTACCTCCAACGTCATATCATCCAGCCCTTGGGGAGCCACATGGGCTGTAGCCCTGCCAACGATATTGGGTGTGGAGGGCGGCATGCCAGCATGTGGGACTGAGTTGAGGCAGCAAAGGCCTCCAAGGCCCAGTCCTGGCTTGCAAGGCCAGGTAGAGGTGATGTGGGACCCCAGGACCTGATCTCAGTACATGGGGCCAGACAGAGACAGTGTGAGGGGCTGGGACATGGGACTAAGTTGAAGTGGTGGCACAGGGCCTTGGAGCCTTATCCTGGTGTGCAGGGCCAGCCAAGGCCACATGGGGCCCGATCTGTACATGCAGGCCCAATACTGCACACAAAGTCTGATCTAGCCCATGGATCAGCCCTACACCACTCATCTGGCTTGCAGAACCAAAGGCTTGAGCATCACTGGTTTAGACCAAATCCTGTGGGGAGAGTTTGTTTGATTGATTAATCAATAATCAAGGCTTGCTTATTAGTACCATTTTATCAGATATACGTACAGTGGGATGGATTCAGTCCAGCCAGGCTTTACTGTCTCCCAACTTTTTATTAAATGAGATTACATCAAGGAAAATTAAAGAGAACATATTCAAAAAATGTGTACCTACTTGAACAAAAGTGCACAAGACAAAGAAGAGAAGATTTAAGAGAGACAATCCAGGAATGAGATTCTGTTCCAGGACCCCAGATCCTTGGCCAGCCGGTATTAACATATAAATCATTAAAATTAAACCAG